CACACACACACACACACACACACACACACACACACACACACACACACACACACACACACACACACACCTTTCTTCTTCTTCTTCCTCCCCCTCCCTCATTCTCCCCGTCTCTCCTCGTTCTCCCCCTCTCTCTCCTCATTCTCCCTCTCTCTTTCCTCGTCCTCCCCCGGTCTCTCTCTCTCACACACACACACACATTTCTTCTTCTTCTTCTTCTTCTTCTTCTTCTTCTTCTCGTTCTTCCCCTCTCTCTCCTCGTTGTCCCTCTCTCGCTCCTCGTTTTCCCCCTCTCTCTCCCCGTTACCCCCTCTCTCCCCTTGTCCTCCCCCGGTCTCTCTCTCTCTCTCTCTCACAAACACACACACACACCCCTTTCTTCTTCTTGTTCTTATTGTTCTTCTTCTTCTTCTTCTTCTTCTCTTCTTCTTCTTCCTCTCCTCGTCCTCCATCTCCTCCCCCCCCCATCCCCTGTTTTTCACTTCTCTCTCTCTCTCACACACACAGGACACACACGCAATTCTTCCTCTTCTTCTTCTTCTTCTTCTTTGTCTTCTTCTACTTCCTCTCCTCCTCCTTCATCGCCTCCTCCTCAGGCTCCCCTTCCCTCGTCCTCCCCCACCTCCATGTTTTTTTTTTCCTTTTTTTTATTCTCCCTCGAAATTGGCGTTTCTTCTTCCTCTTGTTCTCGCAGGTGCATCGTAGCGCTTGCCACATGATCCGTTGTTTCCTCCGCACCTGCCAGGTAAGCGGCCACTATGACAACAGCAGCCAAGTGAGCAGCAACCTGTCTAGCAGCAGCCTCGTTAGCATCTACCACGTCTGCAGCTGACACGACCCTTGCCACGCCACCAACTCCCACATCGCTATGTGTCACGTCTGCACTTGCAACATCAGCAGCAGCCACATCAAAAGCCACTGCACCTTCCAATGCCAGCTCTCGCCACAACATCAAAAGCAGCAGCCACGTCAACAACAACCACATCAGCAACTCGTCTGCACTGACTCTGCAGCATCACCGGTGTCATGGCAGGGGAGCAACAGGACCCGTTCCGGGAGGACATAACCTGCAATTGGGACCACGTCGTGTGGACTTGGGTCACTCCTGACCAGATGCTGTCGGGCAATGCTTGTGGATCGAGAAGACTGCGGTAAAAACTCTGCAACAAGGAGTACTCCCGGAATCGGTAGCGTGCTTGGGAGCACTTCATTTTGGCGAGGGCGTGTGTCAGGTGTCCACATTCAAACCTGTTCATTTGGAGGAGGCTGCATGGCATCAGTGTACAACTGCCACCAGACTTACATGAGAGGGTGTAGCGTGTGTTGGAGATGGAGAAGAGCGACGAGGAGGACAATCCTGTTCTGGGTGGAGAAGAAGCGGGCGAAGGCGGGATTGCTGAGGATCCGTGGAAGGCACCTGGTGGGGACACTAGGGAGGTTGACATCGTTGGGGATGAGGGGATGAGGGTTTTGTGACACGTGGCCTTGCTACCGCTGGGAGGTCTGGTTCCTCGCAGGCTGTGGTGCAGGGGGCGCGCACACGTGGCCCAGCGAGGCAGATGAGCATCAGGAGGTTTGCAAAGAACCCGAGGCAGAAGGACGTGGATGACTCCTGCTGCGAGTTCTTCGTGGAGAACGCGATCCCTTTCAACGCCGCCAGAAGCAGGAGCTTCAAAAACTTCATGCTGACGTGTATCGGGCCACAACCTGTGGGGAGTCACCCACTCGTGCCTACTGGGTACAACCCCCTTAGGTGTCGCCTGCTCGATTGTTTGAACAAGAGGTTGGTGGTTGAGGAGCAGGTGATCCGTGACGACAGACAGGTGACTGGCTGCATGTTCATAACTGATGGCACCACAAACATTTGTGGGCGATCACTTATGAACTGCATCCTTGCAGGCCGGTCGAAGCCTGTTTTCGTGAAGTGCGAGGATGTGAGTGAGGGAGACAAGGACTCAGCAGTTGTCGTTGTCGGGTGGAAGCGGTTCTTTAGAGAGTGGGGGGTGGAGAAGATCACATCGATATGCACTGACTCTTTCGCCGGGAACACGAGTGTCGCGAAGATGTTGAGGGAGAACCCCGAGTTCAGGCAGATCTATTGGATCCCTTCCACAACTCATTGCATGGACCTCCTCATGCATGATATAGGCAAGAAGGAGTGGGCGGATGACATCATCATCAAGGCCAACAAAATAGTGAACTTCTTCAGGGTTCACAGGTGGTCTCGGTCTCAGTTGAGGACGGAGCTGTTGAAGTACCTGCCTCCTTCGGCCTGCTCAAACAAGATTCGGGAGGAACTATGTGATGTTGCAGCGACTTGAGGTGTGCGAGAGGGCCATTGTGCGTATCGTCACGGGACACAGCTAGGAAACCATGTTGTGGCGAGGGGATATTAGGGGGAAAGCCTGCTTTGTGGAGGAGACAATTCTTGACAAAACATTCCGGGCTGATGTCAAGGAACTGAGTGTCGTCATAAAGGGGCCTTATGATGTTTTGCGAGAGGCGGACAAAGATGTCCACTACTTGTCACGCATGTCTAATTTGGCGTGTCGGCTGCCCGACTTTGTTCGCTCGACCCCCCTCACCGCGGATCAGCGAGATAACCTTTTGAGGGATGTCGGCAACAAGACCGACATGTTGCTCAACCCCATCCACGCCGTTGCTCGACCGTTGGATCCTATGTTGAGGGACATTACTGTTTTCAGTAATGTCGACCTCATGGCACAGTCTGAGAGCGTTGTGGAGCGGCTCATTGGGAAGAAGGGGAGCTCGAGATTTGACGACTGCATGGACCAGTTGTATGAGTCCCAGTTTGGGAGGGGAGTCTTCGACACCCCGAAGGCAAAAAAACGGGTTGAGAAGGATAATGCGGTGCTGGGGTGGGAAGCGAATGGTGCAGGGCGTCAAGAGATCTGGGACGTGGCGCTGAAGGTGCTCTCCATTTGGACGACTTCCTCTCCGACTGAGAGGAACTTGAGCACTTGGGCTCTTGTGCAGACGAAGTCCAGGAACAAGTGGCACCAGTAGCGCACCGAGAAATTGGTGGCCTCACACAGGAGCTTGAGGTTCAAGAGTAGGGGGGAGGATGAACCCACTATTGCAGCAGGGTGGTTGGGGTTCACAACCGACTGGGAGGATGAGGACTTGGGGGGTGACATGGCAAATGTCACAGAGGTAGTTGATGACATTGAGGTCGCTGGTGAGGGCACTGCTTCCGCGGTGGGCAGCACCAACATTCGTCACGATCCCACAACGTCGTCCATATCGAGATGGGCGCATAGGTTAGTGCAGGTGGAGGAGGCTGAGGATGCGGATGAGGCCGATGAGAACAATGAGGACGACGTCCCCGACGAGAAGTGGGTGGACGAGAGATCGGACTCATACAGATCGTGGACGAGGAAAGAGGACATCGTCCCCTATGTTCAAGGCACACGATCTGGATTGAGGTCCCTAACTCAGGCGTGGACAGAGGGGCAGCAAGGGGAGGATCCCTCGCGAAAGGCGTGTGCACATGCTCACTCGTCTAATCCGGTGAGACAGGAGGAGGATAAGTAGCAGGGCAGGTTGAGGAGCAACAGAGGCCCGAGCAGCGGGAGCTGCACGATGAGGATGAGCAGCCTGCAGAGGAGCATCGGGAGCAACAGCAGGAGGAGCAACAGGAGCAGCAACAGGAGAAGCAAACGCATGAGAGGAGTGAGGAGCAGCAGCTGAAGCAGCAGCAAGGGGATGAGGAGCAACAGCAGCATGACAGGGATGAGGAGCAACAACAGCAGAGGGAGAAGGAGCAGCGGCAGCAGAGGGTGGATCCAGCAGACCAGCAGGAGACCGGAGTGCAGTCGGCCAAAGATGTGCACGGCGAGGGTGAGGCTGAGGGCGAGCACGGTCGCAGCGAGGTGCAAGGATTTTATGGTTCCAGTCTGCAGTCGCCTGTTGTTGGCCGACATGGAGCGCATCCTGGTCGTGTATGGGATCCCGCCGCCTATTGTGCTCCACGAGGGTGAGGGAGGTCAGCTGTTGGACGTGGGAGAGGGCACACTCATGTGGTTGCTCGAGACACGGGTGGGGTTGTGTGAGGCTCAGGACGTCCGAGAGGTCGGCCACGAAAAGAGAAACGACAGGAAGCGGCAGCAGCAGGACAGGAGTCAGATAATGACTCTCGTGAAAGTGCAGCACTGCAAAGGAAGAGGAGGAGGATGGAGTCTGCTGTGGAGAGAGAGAGAGAGAGAGAGAGAGAGAGAGAGAGAGAGAGAGAGAGAGAGAGTCTTCTTACACACTTAGACATCAACACACTCTGCAATGCATTGTCTGGTCCACACAGACACACAGACACGTTCAAGAAAGGGGTTTTCATGCTTCCATTGTGCTTCATGTTCCTTGCTAAACAGGCGAAATTGTTTCATTGTCGGGTTCTCCGAACTCCAGGGCTTTCGTTGTCTGTTAGAGGGGTTGCTTCATTGACTATGCTTCGATTTTGAATCTGCTGATCTTGGTGGAATGGGGGTTGTCTGTGTGTCTGTGTCTTTGTGTATGTTTGTCTATGTGTGTGTCTGTCTATGTGTATGCCCCCGTCAGGATTGTCGAGCCCCGGTCCTGGGGTCCGGGGGTGGGCACCCCCAACCCCGGCTCCAGACCCCTCC